TGTAACCTTTTAAGCCAAATTATTAAAATTAATTTCTCAGCAGCATATAGACATAGCAATTGTTACAAAAAAGGCTTATTTTTCAAATATCATTTATTATACATTAATTGATAAAAATTATTAAATAACTACTTCAATCATTAATGAAAATTTTACCAACTAGAGCAAAATGCGATAAACACATTTCATAATTTTTTTCTTCTCTAGAATGTCAAATTGGTATTTATTTTATTTTTTTTTTAATTTTTGAAAAAAATAAGAAAGTTTTTAAAAATTTGTTTATTACAATGCAAAGGCTTCCTTTGTTATATGCACAAAAGTAAAGTTTGGTATAGAACTACTCACTGTTTAATATTAGCAAAACAATCTACAATACACTCTTAATTCTGAAAAGTCTTCCGCCGAAACGTTCAGGAAAATCAAATCACATTGATAATTGTGTTCATGCAAGCAAACAACAATATTGATAAATTTTACGGAACAAATAATATTTTTTAGCAATACTTATTTGAAACACAGCTAATTAAATTTCCACAAATATTCATAAATAATAATGAACAGTTTTCCATTAAAGATTTTTAAAAAAATAAAAGTAAAAGTTGAGATGATACTATAATACAATTAAAGTCTGAAAATATCAACTAATATTTTACAAAAAAAAAACTTTCTTATAAAGTAATTCTACAAGTGAACACAGAAACTTGAGCATATATTAAACAAAATCTTTCTGGAATAATTCACCACAAAACAACACAAATTAAATTAACATTCATTTACATTAATACATAACTCTAAATACATTTCAAACTATATCAAATGCATTTTTATTAGACTAAACAAGAAAAAAAATGCCAAAAACTAAAAACCAGATGCTACCAGCAAAGTTGGCATTACTAAAATTCTTTTTAATGTTGTATTGTTTTGATTTTACATTTTTTTATTATTTATATTGTTTTCATACATAAAAGATTAATATATCCACATTTTTTTTGCAGTATAAAACAAAATTTAGTAGCAATAAATTAGAGATATTATTTTGTAAATATCCAAAATTGAATGTCAGGGGACTCTTTTCATTTTAAATGTCGAAAATTTTAAATATAGAATTACTAAATTCACTTTAAGAATTCAAATGACAGGATTCTAATAAAAGAAATACACAAATCATACAGATTATAATATTAAGATTGATACATTCATTGTAACGCACCAAATGGCAGCCATTAATTAATTAAAATTAAATTAATTATTGTCATCAATTATTTAGAGGACAGTTCTAAAAAGATGGAATCATAACACAGATATAAACTTTAAGCTCTGACCACAACTAAGTTTAAAATTTATTGCAAGGTAATATTTTGAGAAAAAATTTATAATCCTGTTAAGAGTTAAGTGACAAGAATTAACAAAAACTATTTGCCAAAATTTTCCACAAATGTATCAAGAATTTTATTTCAAATAAAACGGGTCAATTTTGAACATCCATGTAGTTAACTGAGCAAATGTAACACCAATAAACTTTTCAGATTTCCAAATGCTTAAAAAGAAAAGCAAGAGGTAAATTTTCAATTTGATGATTAGTTGACAATATCCTAAACAAATAACAACACTCGATACTTATATTTACTTTGTGAAAAATTTTTAGAAAAAGTGTTCTAGGGATTTGATGAATTTCTCAATTAGTGTTGTAAATTTTAACAGAGAATAGATGGATTGAAAAAAATACTTTTGAACTTATTTATCCATACTTAACATTATTTTTCAGGCATTCTTTCTTTTGTAAGGAGATATTTTTGCAACCATTTTCTTACAAAATGAAATAGTCTAAATCGTAATGCTGATAATTTTTCCCATAAGTTTGTTATTTAATGTAATCCATTATTCCAATATTCAATGAGAATGTCATTAAAGTGTTAGTAATCTTGAATTGAAAGGTTTTATGCATAAGTATTGAGTATTTAGTATCAGTCAAATTAAAATTAGAAATAGTTAATATAATATAATAGTAAGTATAATATAATAATAATATAGTTTCTTGAGAAGTACTCTTGAATGTCCTGTAAAAGGATGATAAAAGTAACTTCTTGGCGTGTGTGTTAACTCTCATCATTACTTATTTGAATCATTGTCTTGGTCTTAAAGTTCTAAACAATATAACTGAAGAACATCTAAACACCTTTTTAATTGAAATTTTGAAGAATTTTTAACACATAACCAAAAATCTATATCTTATCAAAACAATTGAAACATTAATTTTTTTTAAATAAAATATTACAAATTTTAAACAAATATTTAGTTATTTTCCTATAAACAAAATACATAAATACATAACTTAATACATAATACATGTACTTAAATACATAAATTAATTATGTGCTAACAATATATAAAAAATTTTACCAAAATTTGTAAATAAGTAAGCTTTGCTTTAAAGGAAAAATAGTTTAAAAATTATAAGAGTAAATAATAACTTGGATAAATAGCAATAATTTATAAAATTACTAGAGAATCAAATGATTATTTTATGTAATAGCAGAGTAAAAATATAATAATTAAATCCCCAGAAAATTATTATGTTCATCAAAATATAAACAATTATTTTACAAACTTTTAAAAATAATCCTTTTTACTACAATTATTTGTGCAACAAAATCAATCATAAAGGTACAAATAAATCCTGTACATCTCTTTTTTTTGTCATAATTGATGAAGAAATAAAAATTTTTTTAAAAATAGATATTAAAAAGTTGAAAATACGATATACCCTTATTGATATTACTTTTTGAAATAATAATTATAAAAAATACAGTAGATTCCAAACATTTGTGCTTGACTTCTTTATGTTTCTGTTAGTATCCAAAAATATTTCAAAAGTTTTAAAAAAGATAAATTAACTAATTCATAAGGACAATAATTGACATAATTCATTAGTACAATAATTGACCATATAAGTTACTGACAATTAAAAAGAGTTAATTATATTTACAAAGCATAATAAAATGCACGAAGTTTCATTTCAATATTTTAACTTCCTCGTTCATTCTAATTTATTGAAATGATTAGTACAAATTTTGTTAAAAATTGCCAAACGTTCCGCAGAACCTTTTATTTCTAATTCCATTAGCAGAATTAATGTGGCACCACAGTGAGTCCTGCTGATTGATTTTTGCCTTGTAGACAAAAATTAGTGAATACAAATTTCTAATCACAGGCTCTTCAGATTAATCTTATAATATTTCCATGGAGTCGCAGATAAATACCGAAGTTTCTGGTACTGAGTTTTTAAAAGATAAAAACATTAGGAATCTTATATAATTATGTAATAAGTATGTGATTTAAAAAATAAAATGAATAAATAACTGCTTTCATTAAAAAGTGATTACAGTTTTAAGTTATTTGCATTTCTGGAATGAATTTAAAATAGCACCAATATGTTAGCGTTCAGAAACTCACTAGTGCTATTTTAAAATTATTTCAGTAATACACATATTTCAGGACTGGGTATGCTTTTTTTAATATTTTAAAAGTTTGCTTTACTTTTAATGATGTTTCAAAGTCATATAAGATTTTAAAATATTTCAGAATTTTGCTATTTTTTTGACATCATTTTAAGTCTTTTTGTAACGAGTGTAATCTCTCCAAAGACAAAAGTTAAGTTTTAAAACTTAAATATATTCATAAATCCCTATCATATGTGTTCATGACCTTCGTGACCTGATATAAAACACTTGAAAATTTTACTAAAAATAGTTTCACTACTTTATGGCTTTTACTTTTAACCTATGTATATCATGCTAAACAAATCTAAAATTTAAAGTAGAAAAATTAGAGCTCAATTGTTTTAGAGATAACTTAATTTTTAAGAAGAAAAAAACTATCTTAATTATAATTTTGACTCATTTATGCAATTCAAATTTTAATATTAGATAACCTTAACACAAATATTTAGGTGCAAATTTAGATATTAAAAGTTTTTAACATTAATTCTCTCAGCTTATTTGCAATTTGTTTTAATTAAATGTTTAGAAAGTTTACTCCAGCAATAAAAGCAGGCTTTATACTTCATAGTAAAGCCTGTTTTGTATGAAGTATTGCTTTTATATAAAGAAAATAGTGTGCAACAGAGAAATTAGAACCCAATTTTGCTCAGAGACATAATTGTATCAAATAAACTTTTAACTTAAAGCTTACATTAAGCACAATATGAAATTATACATAATAGGAGTATCCTGTAAAGATTTAAGTAATCAATAAAAAAATTTATGAATTTAGTTATTTCCAAACTCCATATCTACCTAATATTTATTTTAATGTAATATTTCAATTAATATATATCAGATATCTAAAATTAAACAACATATATTTTTTTGTTTTGATTTGAATACCTACACACAACTTATATAAGAAACATTAAAAAAAAATTTTATTGGTACATTCAAGTTTCAGCTATCAAATTTACTTTTAATTTGATAAAAACTTTCTCAGAGTAATAATTATATTCCACAACTGAAGTAACTTGCAAATCTTTCAATTTAATAAGTTCTAAGATTAGATCACCAAATGTCAAGATTCTACTGTAATTTTGAAATTTTCCAAATTAATAGTCAGAACAGATATATCTTTGTTCATCCAGTAAGGAAGAATACTTTCACAAGATTTACTTAATTATTCAGAGTGATATAAAATGAAATGTTAGATTCAAATTCAAATAAGCAATCTTATAATTTTTTTATTTATAAAGAAAATACCAGAGAGATAGAGAGAGAAATCTAAATAATTTAAATAGCAATTTTAAAAGATATTCTATCAAAACTAAATAACTATCAGTAGCAATTTTCAGAACAAAGCAATTATATACACAGTGTTCTTTCTTTTGGACTAGTAAGACATTTCAACAACATTCACAGACAAGGAAGAAGATAAATACTTTTATCATCACAGTCAGAATTCGTGATATTATACAGCAGGCTTTACTTTATTTTTTTCAACTAAAGCTCTAGTCCAGGCTAGTGCTCAGAATAGGCTATAATCAAATCATAACATAGCACTTTTCTTTCACATGTATTAAGGGATGCCAACTAGTTGCAATGATATTTCAGCGTAATGATGTTACTTTTCATAACAATAGACTTACTTTTCCAAAGTAATAGAGTTATTTTTTAATAGTAATGAAGTTACTTTTCTGTTGTATAGGAGCCATACTTTCCAAAAATGCAGTTATTGGAGTAACCTTTTCATAGTAATGAAGTTTTTTTTTCCTAATCATAGTTACTTTTTTTATAGATATGCAGTTAGTTTTCTGAAGACATGGCATAAATTTATAGCATAACTTAACATAGCCAAATGAAATGTTTTAATTGATATTCAGTAAATTGCTTTTTTTTCATTCAAATATTAAAATAATCCTTACTACATTTAATTATATCTTTACTTAGAATAATATTGGAAAAGATTATTTTGCATTTAAAACAGAGCAAATAAATTTTTCTTCAAAACTGAAAAAAGGGGTATTTTAAAAATAAAAAATACGTAAATAAAAATATCAAGAAATTAAGATGCTTTCCTAAAAAATACTGGGATTTTGCGATCTTTGGTAATTTTTAGAAGCTCCCTGTATTCAGAACTAAAATTTGCGAAAAATAAAGAATACATGTGGTAGTTGGCATTCCTATGCAACGAAGGTACTTGTACTTGCAGTGCGAATATACAAATGCATAGCATTTGCAGATCTGTTATTTCCTTCAAATTTCACACAAAATTGGAAAAAAAGCAATCCATATTGGTCTAAAAAATGAAAATTTCATAGCACTTAACTTGGAGTCAGTGGGAGTTCACTACTAAAATAAGGAGCAGTCTGGTGATCTAATAAAGTATGGCACACATTACACACTTTAAACTGCCGTCCTTTAGGTCCACTATTCACAGTTTTGCTTAGACATTCAACACAGAATATTTTACCACAATGGTTGCAATGAATCTAGAGAAAAAGAATTCTTCTATCATTAAATGTTAAAATGTTTTCTAAATAAGCACCAAATAAATAGACAATGAAAAATACATTAAAAATAATCAGACAATTATCTAAGCTCAAATCTTAATTAAAATCAAGACATGCAAATAAAATTAAAAATAAAAAAAAAGAGTTCAAACATATTAAATTTTGTTTTTTGTGATGGTTTTCAAAAGAAGCAAAAATTGAAAATGCTATTTTAATACTATTAAAGCACCCAAAAAGAAGAACAAAATTCCTAAAATTTAACCTTAATTCTATGCTCAAAATTAAAACAATTTATGTTAATCTTGGTAGTTAATTTTAGAAGTTATAACCACGAGTCAACCAACAATGTATTGTTTGCTTCCAAAAAAATTTTTAAAAAAACTATATCCAGAAATAAATTAAATTTGCCACTAGCAATTAACAGAAATTTTATTATCATTGGAGTAAGCTTTGTAAGCAAGATTTTAGTAAGTTAAATAAAGAAATTAATAAATTAAGTATCTTGATTAATGTTTAATTCTCTTAGTAATGTTAATTAATTTATAAAATGGATAACTCAATATGTAAACAGATACAATGATTAAACAAATAATATTACAATGTAAACAAAAACTTCTGTATATCAAACTTATAATATACATTTATGATTTTGTAAAAAATAATGTTAGATTACCCCTTAAGAAGTTATACTGTATGAGAAGTTTTCACTTTCTTCCTCATGAAAAACTTCTTAAATGAGTTTTGTAGTATTTACATTTTGGAGAGAGAAAAATAAATTTACAAATTATAAAAAGTACTAACTCCGAAACTGACTTAACTTACTTTTTCTTTGCGACCTTGAAAAATTTTCTTGCAAGTATTACACTCGGATACATCTTCATCATGTTGCCACCTAACTTCACTATCAGACTGTCTTATTTTTTCTAACTCCATCTGTAGAAGTTAAAAAAGAATGAGAAACAAATATTACAAAAATTTCATTTTAATCATTTTTTTTAAAAAATAGTAACATTTGTTGAAAAAGAAAAATATTTTTTCCAGTCCGATATTATGTTGTAGTACAAGAAACAAAAGAAAAATATATTTGTGTAAATAAATAAAAGCATTTAAATTTTTTATATTTTTACTAATTTATACAGCCATCTAATTGGTGTTTAGCCTACATGTACCGTGGCTCAATCAAGGTTTCATTCCCCTTACTAAAGACTGAATGTCTTATCCAACTGCACTTTCTCTGATTGTGTCACAAGCAAATCTAATGTAACATGACCAGCAGTTTCAAATATCAGAAAGTTTATACATGGTTGGGTGGTTGGGGAGTGTGATCTGGAGAAAGGGAGACTAAAAACACCACCTAAATAAAGGCAGTGTAGTGTCTTTTAATCATCAAGAATAAATAGAAGTTCATTGCCAATAGTCATTAGTGAAGAACTAGTAAAAAGTGGGGTGGACTAAAGTTATAAATAGAAATATTAATTAGATTAAATTCAATGTAAAATTTAACTGCAGAGAAATTAACTAAGCAATAATGTCCACCCCTGCTGAGCGATCTGTAGTGATCTACACATACTCAAAGTAAAGAAGAAAAAAAATTTGTAAACTAATTTTAACAAAAAAGAAGAAATCAGGAAAAGGTGGAACAATATTGGGATTAAATTATCCATATTTAACCAGAATATGTAAATAAATATATAATGTTTGAAAGATTTTCTTTTATAAAAGTATGAATAAAAAAAAATAGAATGGTAAAATATCTTACTAGTACTAAGAAAGCTTGGGAGGAGGAATAAAACCATAATTTTATAAATAACCATCTAAAATGTTGGCCCTCTTAAAAGAGTTGAACTTTTTCACAAAAACAATTTGAAACATATTAAATGTAATTAGTAAACATTAGAAGAGAAAAACCTCTGCATGATCTAAAACATAAAAAAATACATAACTTCCCATATTTATAGATAAAAATTATTATAGCAAATAAAATCCACAAGCAAAAAATAATAAATTAAATTTTTATTAAATAAAAAATAATTTGGTCAGGCAATCTACTAACTTTGAAACTACCAAGCTAAAAAAACTTTAAATGACTAAATTCTAAAATATATTAATGAAAAATTATTCCTGTACTATTTCTTCCAACATATTAGAGACAAAATATGTAGGCAAAAACTTCCTCTTCTTCCTTATCCCCAAAATTAGCAGGGCTAAACAATGTCCACGAAATTCATGACCCGGAGGAAGTCGGCCACCAAAAGTGGGTTATTTAGAATGTCCCTTTTGTCCAGACCAAGACAGTCCAGGATATGTTGGGGAGAAGCCTGCATGTTGTGGCACCTGGGGCAGTTTGGGAAGATTTTAACACTACCCTCGAAAGAAAGGGACTTAAGGTAGCCGCTGATAAGCCTGGTAAGAGCCAAGGCAAAAACTTAACTATAGGTAATAAAAATTTCCCCTGAGAATTAGCCATAACTAGATTAGCAATATTAAAAGTATAATAATAATAAAATCTAATGAAGAAAGAAAAGCAAAAACTATTCCTTTACGTATTTACACAAATTACAAACATGCCTTATAAAATAAAAATTGGCATTACTAAAAAATTGGAATTTTTTTTTTTTTCAAAAATAATACAAAATAGTCACAGTACACAATTTTAAAATGAAACTGCTTATAGGAACTAAAACAGTACATGTAATAATTTGTTTAAAATTTTTAAAAACTTGCCATTTTAAATAGCTGTAATTCATAATTAATAATTTATAAAGTTAGTGAATTTAATAAATTTTTCAGTCTTCCAATATACAAAGTAAGTTATAAGTTAGTATGAATAATATCTGAGTAATAATTTTATACAATAAACAGATAATTGCAATGATAGGGTGGATTTATCAAATTAGCACTTTGCTTCACCTATTATGCAAAAGAAGATTGCACAGAACCAGAAGATTTAAAGCTGAAAAAAATTTCATTACCTTAATCAACAACTTAATTTATTATGAATTCACATGGCTACACATTATTCATGTCACTGTAAAGAATGGTTCATATACAAGTACGTAGATTACAAACACACATTATTATGTATATGAATTGTTTTATACATTAAGAGTAACATATACACATCAATTACTATCTAACAATCCAATGAAACACAAAATTGAAAGAGTTGTATTGCATGCTAAAGTAGTATAATATATTGAATTTTCAGAGTTCATCTAACCTTCTTACATTCCAACCACAATCAGAAACCATAAAAGAAATAGCAAATAACTCAGAATTGCTTAAAATATTATATTTAAAATAATAGTTAATAAGAGTACAGAAACAAAGAAAAACAGTATGCTGGTTATTAGCAGTGATCCATCTTGCATGTGATCAGGGAAAATTAATAGACAATGAAGAGAAGGGAAGAAAGTGAAAGACATGCATATGCATGCACATATTTGATTGAATGACACCCATCCATTATGTGTAAATGTTACTTGCCTGCAGCGTTTGTGAAAGCTTTACAAAGTCTTTCTGAACTCCTTCACTGGTGTCTAAATCTGATTGAAGACTCTGAACTTTGGACTTCAATTCACGCATTTCTTCCTCTGTTTTTGACTGAGAAATAAACAGTTACTTGCCTAAAAGTCATTTTACTTAAATACTAGAAAAAATAAAAAGCCACACAAGCAAGGGAGGGACTCATTCAGTAAGTTACAAAAGTAAAACCTCGTTGTGTTGATTACACACATGTCAAGTAGACAATTTATAAATCACACTATAAAATAAAAGTTCATATTTGATTTTAAAAAAGTCTCCTCAATTTTTGAATAGGAAATTAAATATTCCGTATGACGTACAACATGAAAAAATAAGTAAATTTAGCAGTAACCCAGAGATGAAAAATTTTCATTGCTTCAGTTTCAGCTCTGCTTCCAGAAAATAAGATAAGCTTTGCTCCCAGATTATAGTGTACTCGACTAAGGCTCTGCCCATTTTAATATGTATTTAAGTGAATTTTTGAGTTTCAGATTTTAATATGACATTTTTAGTATATAAAGCACTAAAAAATAATGACATAATCATCAGTTCACACAGAAAAAAAATTTTAATTCATAGTTCATTCATTTGTTCATCCCTAAGGAAAGAATTGAATCTAATTAATCCACCTTCTTCTTTGATTTTAAACCATTATTAATGCATTTTAATGCTGAGAATAGTCTTTCTACAGCAACTTAGCTAACGGTTAATGCTGTCTCAAAGCGGCAGTGGGATTCAGCCCTGGAGCATAGAAAAATTTAGAGTTCTGAACTCAGCTTTAAAAAGAACACAGCTCCAGAGTGCTCTAGCTCCTAGCAATATAGATCAGCTCAAAAGAAAGAGGTACAGTTTTTGGTAAACTAAAATACAGGAAGCATAAAAAACTAACACTTAGCTAAAGTAGAAACTGTGAAATAAATATATTTATAATTGCTACTTTTTACAAGTATTCATCTAAGTTAAATGTTTATATTTTAACTCATTGGGTTAATACATTTACAATAAGAAAAATGAAGATGAACCCCTAAAAATGTCCATAATTCACAAAAACTTTTATTTGTATGTTTGTTCTAATAAAGATTTAATATAGATAAATCAAAATTCTCATAGTACATTTATTTCATGAAAAAAATAAAAACTCCTGAACAGAACGTTTAAATAGAACTCAAAATACTAAATATTTACTTCTAAATTGTTTTTTAATCAGAATTTAAATGATTATTTCTTATTTATGATGAGCTTGATTTTTAGAGAAATGGTTGCAGGATATTTTGTTTTAAAAAATTAAGATTTCCATAGATTAATATTTCCCTTATAATTATTATAATTAGAAATATCAATATTAAAAATTTGTTTGAATTTTATAAGTTTGCACATACAAACTTCACTAAATGTTTTATTAAATTTTCCTTGAAATTTAGCACTGATGTTTTTATACTGAATTATGGTTATTTAAAAAACATCACTTCAGAAAAGCTCCTTTAAATAGGTATGTAATAATAAAACTCGTGACACTAGCTAGTTTAAGTTTTATTGGCTTTTATATATGGAATAATTATTCAAAACTAATTTTCTAAATTAGTTTTGAAAAATCAAAACCATAAATTTTTATTGCACCTGAAGCAATGGAAAACTTCATTCTGAATTTAAATATTTGTTCAGTTATATTTTTCTGATAATACTAACAACGCTGACAAAATGCAGACAATGGTATTGAACAGCATATTTTTATTCACATAATAAATTAAAAAGAGGATTTATTTTCACAAATTCTCATTTTAATTTAACTATACAGGAAAAAAAACTAAGCTCTTATTTAAAATTATAATTTCAGATTAATAAATATAGACTTTTATATATTATTAAAAGCAGTCTTAGTCATAACTATTTTTTTTTATTATTAATAAATAATAATTAAACAGAGAAAAACATCAGCTATGCAATTCAATATGATTTTTTTAATGTCGTAATCAAAAAGTAAATTTCGTCCAACCAAGATGATCCAACCAAAGAATCAAGTGATGGTAAAAAAAAATTTTAACAATTATTAGTTGCACTTTCTGTTGTGGTGTCACTGTTTAGTGATCAGCTTTAAAAAGGTTTCATTGATGTAAAGAATTAAAAAACAATTATTTACATTTATAATTTTTTATTTAGTACCAAGAATGGGCATACAGCTCAGCTCTTAATTAATAATTGAAATTATAAAACTTTCATATTTAAAATAAAATGCACTGAAGTTTTAATAGATAGAAATAATTTTTTAATAAACTAAATTAAGTTTGATCTCATATTACACTCCATACCTTAAACGAACAACCATACTAAAACTAAATGTCACAACATTTCTATGTATCCTACTTTCACTATACGGCATGAGTCACTAAAATTAAAAGCATTAATAAAGTATAGTCTAAATACACAAGAATAATATATATACAAACCTTAGCAGTGTTTAATTCATCTAATTGAGCTTGAAATTGTGATATTATTTCTTCTTTCTGCTGGCAACTTTCTAATACTGAAGATAGTTGTTTATCTAGTTCAATATTTTTATTTTGCTGAACTTGTAATTCTTGTTTAACACTTTCTAAAATACCTATCAGGCAAAATTACATTACAAAAATGATAAAAATACATTTACATGAAAAATATATCAAAAGAGAATCCATAAAATGCAGTGAAAAAATGAGTATTTTAATGTGATACTTAGCTATTAAACAAATATAACATATGCACTAACTAAGTAGAAATGCATACAATTTTGAATTTATAAATATGTCATTTTACAATTTTCAAAATGAATTCAGTGTTTAAAATATATGGCATACTCGAAAAGATTTTTCTTCTGTGCACTTTTCATTAAACTGATTAATTTTCTTGACAGAATTTGTTTCACCAGAAAATTAAAGGGTTTGAGTCAATATAATGGTAAGCTTTAAACTCCAATTGTTCAGGAGAATGTTTTCAAGGAAAAAGCTTAAAATTTTCAAACAGGAAATAACATATTTCTGTGTATTGTGCAGTTATTAAGTATAAATTCTGGAAAATTCTAAAATACCTATTTGTAAAAAGTACTAAGGATCAGTATTCAGGGGTGATTGTGAGCCCAACTCAAAAATCCTAAAAATTTCTCCAATAAAATCATTATTGGAAAAAATTAATGTCTGTATAAATTTAAATCATTGATATTTTCAAAACATGAAATTCTAAATAAATTATATGCAGCATAATTTATATGAATAATTATGCATAAGTTTACTTTTATCTCTAATCACATTTATTATTCTACTAGAAAAAATTTTTACAAATNTATTGGAAAAAATTAATGTCTGTATAAATTTAAATCATTGATATTTTCAAAACATGAAATTCTAAATAAATTATATGCAGCATAATTTATATGAATAATTATGCATAAGTTTAATTTTATCTCTAATCACATTAATTATTCTACTAGAAAAAAATTTCACAAATGAAAGATATGCCAAATATAAATTCAAGTTCTAATATTTTTAAATGAAACATAAAATTTTTTTAATACATAAATGTGATCAATTATGTCTTGACATTTCTGCACCTCGGATTTCCGGAAACTTCCGGATCGCGTTTACCGAAAAATCTGGAATTTTTCCGGAGCACAATCATCTCTGAGTATTAATATGAAAAAGAGTGGCTAGCTTCTACATCACTTTAATACCTTTCAATTTTCTATTATAACTGATAAATCATTTTCTTATACACATCATGTCTACTTAAACATTTTCTAATTTTGAGTTATAAAAATTAAAAGTTTATTTAAAACACTTTTTTTTTTATTTATTAATGTATTTTGATTTAAAATGTAAATTTTAAAATTAAGTAATAAGATAAATTAGTTTTAAAAAAAAGAAGAGTAAAGTACCTAATTGTTCCCTGAGGCTATCTAGTTCTTGAGTATATGTATCTTCTAGGCTTTCTTTTGCTGTTTGTTCAGACATAAGTTGGTTTTTCAGCATCTGAATGTCTCCCTTCAAGGCTTCTTCCATATTTTCTTTAGCTGTTTTTATTTCAATAAGCTCTTCTCTTTTTTGCAAGACATAAAACTGTAAGTCCTGCATAAAACATTACATTGTCAAACAACTAACAATACACAACATTATATACCAGTCCTAAATACAATGAACTCCCAATTTAATCATCTATAAAAACAATTAAAATTTATTTAACTATTAAACGTCTGTTTATTTTGCATCTTTTAAAAATTTTTGGTAGAAATAAATTATCTCCTTTTTAGTAATTCAGAATTAAAGAAACGACAATTTCATAAATAAGAATTTAAGAATGCACTGATGCATGGCAAATTTTTATTGATGATTAACATGTTGTTAACTGTTATTAATTCAATATACGAATAAGTTGCCCTAAAGGATAGAATTAGTTTAAGTCAATTTCAGAATTTTTACTGGAGAGCCAAAACATTCTGTTTCTAAACATTGCAAACGTTATTCTATGGATTGCTGATTTACACCAGAAGCAATGATGATTTATGGAGCAATGCTGATTTACACCAGAAAGTTACAAAAAATAAGAATAAGATCAGTGGTCAGAAAAACTACATTATTTTTGTAGTTTACTACAACTACTTTGTTACAAATATAACAACTACTACAACTAAAACTATTTTTTTTAAATGTAGTGGCAACCTACTTTGGCATTGTAGTAACTACTTCACTACTTTAAGGAGGCGAACTTAAATTAAGTGTAAAAGAATAATTAAAAAATATTTATTCATGTTAACATGAGTCAGTTTGTTATTCCAAAACATCATTTTTTTTCTTCAAATTTACTCATTTAATATTAAATTATTTATTTACTCATTTAATATTAAATTATTTATACCTTTCTCAACAACGAATTTAAGAAATACAAAATTATGAAATAGTACTTGAAATTTTTTAATTATTTAATATTCTTTTATTTCCTCTAAAAAATTTAAGTGCATTAAAAATTTGTTCCCTTCCTTTGAAATAACATCAGTGTTTCCCGAGTGTACATTTGCATGTTAAAGTGTAACCAAAGTGATTTATTTATTTCCCTCAATAGCAAGTTTAAATATTAATTATACGTGATTTTAAATACGTAGTTACTGTTAACGCTCAGCTCGCATTTTCATTGCATCCATTGACGGACCCGTGATGATTTGCACCTATCAAATTCAAAAAATTTGTAGCGTTTGTAAAAGTAGTTCCCAGGAATCACTGCAAACTTTCCTTTTTTTGGATCACACAACTCACTACACTACTTTACTTAAAAAAAGTAGCACACTACAATATAAACTATGGGAAAAAGTAGCAACTACAGTAGTTTTACTACTTGTAGTGTGCTTCTTCCCCTTTTAAGATAATAAGATAAGCCAAAACAAGTTTCTTTGGAGATAAAATTCCTCAAATAAGTTATAAATATATTCTTCACAAACATCTTCAGAATTTAATTCAAAATAGAAAAAAAATTTCCTGGAATTAAAATTTTTTTTTTATAGATTTAAAATAGTCAATTTTTTTAAAGCTGTACAAAAGAGTTTAAATCTTACAAATACAAATTAAATACAAATTTATATAAGGAAATGAAAGAGTTGATAAATGTATTTTCAAGCCAAAAAAAGGCAATAATAATAATAATAATGGAGTAATTAGGAATAATTTACTTAAAATTTTGTCTTTAAAGAATATTTATATAATACAGAAATATTTTCACATTGTTTTTCACAATCTATTAAATGCTATTTGTAATCAACAAAACAAGAAGAGCAATAATAATCTTTAGTACGCTTAAAATATGAAACCATTGCCATCTCTTACACGATTTGCACCCCTAATACTGTTTATTTAGAAAGTTAGCAAATGAAAGTATGGACTCATAAAAATCAATAAAATCTCTTGGAGTCACACTAACTGACTAAGCATTTGCAATGTTAGAAAGAGTGCTGTTTTGAATGCTGCAAAACTCACCTTTCTCTTGTTATACAATGAAAAAGTTGTGTCTTGAGAAGAAATTTCCATGTAAAATTGTCCAAATATGAAATGCATTCATAAATTAGCACTTATGTCATCAGTATATGAACTATTCAGTAATCAATGAAAACCAAATCATGTAGAGTACACTTTAAAATGTTGGGAATTTATTTCATCATGAGGAAAATCACAAAAAGAACAGTCCAAGAAATTGTCAAAGCCAAAATAAAAGCTTTGTCAATAAATTATGTTTCTAAATATGTATCCATAAAAAAAATATTATAAATAATTAAGCTTATCATTTATATTATTTATCATATTTATTTATAAATAATTGAACTTATGATATTATTTCCCACAAAACCTTTCATATTTATTTTAATAATTAATAAAAACTCACCTCTATAGTGTTAGGTAAATTTATAGTTTCATTACTCATTTGTTGGGCTTTAGCTATATGTTTTCCAAGTAGGACATCATTTTCATTTTTCACTTTCTCAAGCTAAACATGAAAAACACTTTAAGTATTTTCAAACATAATATACAGTTAAATAATAATTCTTCATAATGTTTCAACAACAAAAAATTCATTACAAAGCGAAACATAAATTACTACTTACTTCTCGTTTAACTGCATCTCTCTCAGAAACTATCACCGTCTAAATTGAAAACAAATATTAACAAATAATAATTCACAACTAATCTGCTTTTTATATATCAACTTAGTCTACTTAAGTTATTGATACTTAAACTTCCGTGTGCTGGACAAATATTATTAAAATACCACTTGGACCACAAGAAAATGATTCATAAGTCCATCAAACAAACTTTAAAATATAGAACACTTATGCTAATAAAAAAAGTTGATGTATATTCCTATATATAGCAATAATTAAAAAATTGGATCAAACAAATCTGTTATAAATTCCACTTAAATTTAAATATTTTAGCTTAAACAAAATAACTATTAGCAAAAATACAAATATCAATTAAACCAACTTTCTTTTCATCATTTATATTCAATATATACCTGTATTTATTTACAATACTTTTATAAATGCAGTATTACAATCATTTTTTGTTATTGTTGTAATTTATGGTTGCTATCCTTATATTTAGCTAAAGAAATTTTTTTTAAAAATTGTGTTATAAGTAAATAGAAAGAGTGTTTAAATGTAAACTAATCTATCACACTATCTACACACCACAATAACTTCCGTCTTATCAATCCTAAGAACTAATAAATTTTTTTATAAAATTTTTAATGAAATAAGATAATAAACATTTTGAAAAACATAAAGCTTATAAAAAATTAAAAATCATATGACTTAAGCGAATCCAAAGTTTGCAATTCGACACTCATGTAAAAGCCAATGGAAACAAAATTTGAAACTAAATAAAAGTTAATTTTTTTAACTTCTTTTCAGTTATTACATCAGCCAAACAATATTGTTGTACTGAAACAAACAATCAAAAGTTATAGCACAACTCTGCAATACTGGTTAAAAAAAACTATCAATACTATCATTAAAAAAAATTATCAATACTACCAAACTACCATTCAACAAGATAGTATGGACTTAAAAAACAATAAGTTGATAAGGGCAAACCAACTTGTTGCTGAAGGTGACTAATTTATACATAAAATTAAAATAGCCCAGATTCACTAAATTTATAACTAATTTACTGCAGTTTTTTTACAATAAAAAGTAACAGAAAAAAACAAAAAATACATTGTTAACATACTTGAAATTCATTTAGATCTTTATGGCACTGGTCATACAGGATCTTGATGTCACTATAATTTTTTGTGAACTGGTCCCGCATTTTAAAAAGCTCACTAACCTGAAATAAACAATAAAAATTTATCAAAAAAAATAATAATAAAAAATATCAAACAAATAATTAAATAATCAGTTAAATAGGACAAGAAAATAATTTACTTAAGCTTAAAGGTACTGCAAACAGATTATACATGAAAAGTAGTAACGTAAATAATTTAAAATTACTACAGATTATTTTACAAAAGTAAGGGATAAGAAAGAAAGTTTTTTATATTTTAAGTAATTGCTACATCCAACATTTAAAATCCACATTATTTTTTTTAAATATAAAATCGTTTTAAAACTATGTTTAGCATAAGACCAAATAAACATATTCTGTTAAACAATTTATGCTCAAAACAAAAATTCAATAGCAGAGGAACTGTGATACCTGTTATTTTTTTTAAGTTTGCATATTTATATTTAGTCAGTGAAATGTTGACAAGCCTTAACTCAGGAATGGAATTAAGGTGGTAAGCACATACTTGTTCCTTAAAAATAAACTTCAATTACATCTCTTGATTCTTTGATATTTTGAAAAACAAAATCATTACTTTAACTTAAAAAAGAAAGAAATATTTTTATATACCAATATTAATTTTTTTCTTCTCAAAACAACCTAAAATGTTTTATGTGCAAGTTCTTGAATGGTTTTAATCTAAAAACTAATTAGTCTTAACACTTCTAAACGAATTTACTACTTCATTAAACTACTACAGTTTAATGAAGGATTAAACTACTTCAGTTTTCATGAGATATTAAAATAAGAAAGAATAAGCAATTATTAACAAATGATGTGGCTAATGCACAAAAATTTATGATTCAAATACACACTGACTTATAAGAATTGAATTGTGTTTTTTAAGCCATATATCTATAAACACTTTAAACAATGTTAATAAAATATACACAGTGAAAACTCTATATATCAACATTTATCGCACGTTAAGTGCTTACCCAATTTGGACTGATAATCATTTCTATAATTTATCACCCTACTTTTTCTTCCCACAGGTAAATGGATGAACTGTTAAAACTAATGTCTCATTGCATAAGACTGAGGTTCTTTCAATCCTGATAGCAGCTTGAAGTTTACCCAGCTTTAGATTGCTGGGGAGTCGTATCATGGTACCAGCATGTACCATAATACGACTAGTTCACAATGCTATTGCATTGCCAATATCATGCTACTGGTCACGGAATTAAGATTTAGCCTCCATGACCCTCTAACCAATAAATAGGTTGTAACAAAAGTGGCTTTTATGGTAACTGTCAAGCACTTTAAAGAAAGTGTGTAAACTCACAAACAGTCATCAATGACAATACTACAGACAACAAAGATAGTTTGTTTCAAACAATAAGTGAGTACCTTATTCCAATTTAGTGACTGTAACCTATACTAATACCAAATTTTATTTTTTTTACATTTGTTAACATATAAATAAAATTTAAAAAAAATAATTTTCTCAGACTTAAAACAAAATATATATTTTGAAGAAATTACAGTAAAAACTATTCTTGTATTACTGATTGAATCTTGCCTTGTGGTTCGTATAATGTAGTGAGATGGTTGAATTTGATTTTACAAGTGAATCCATAAGTGGTTCCAAGTAACAAAGAAATAAAAAATTTCTCTCCAATTTTTCTTGCAAACAAGTTTGGGTAGAGGGGTTGCAAAATATTCACTTCTCTTTTGTTTACTTATTAGAGGTCACAGGAGAAAAAAGGTGCAAAAACACTTTATAGAGTTTATCCACTTCAAAAAAATCAACACTTTTAAATTTTGTAATTGTGGTAAATGCAAGCATTTAATCTTTAATTTAACTTCATTAAAAACAAGGAACTAAAAACCTTTTTTTCACATTCTTTAGAGACTTCATTAAACTTTTCTTCCATTTCTTGCCTATACTCTTTTTCTCTAAGCAGATCTTTTTTGTAATCTTCTAGAGTCATTTCAATTGAAGTAGCTTTATTACGCTGCTCGGCTTCCTGTCTCTGCACTTGCTGTAGCTGCAATTCATAATTAGAACACATTTCGCAGGGTTGCCCTGACTTTTCACGAGCTCTCTTCAACTGAAATATGAAAAAGATTCATAAATAGAGTGAAAAAATAAGTAAAAAAAGTTTTAAACACAGAATTTAGTTTAGATGATGTATGATAAGTGTGTTTTCAAAAATACATTTACGAATTCCACTTCGTTTTCTCTAAACTTTCAAATTTTTGCATTTAACTTACAATTTAAGAATATCTACAATAAAAAGTGATAATCTATAAACTTATGAAAACAACTTTTTGTAATCACATGCTATATGGTTTTCATAAATGTAAAAATTAATTCTTTATCTATAGTAGATGTGTAATAAAAAAAATTTTATAAGTTATATGAATAAAATTATTTTTATTAGTAAAAAAAAATTTTTTTTGAAAAATACTTAATTTTTAAGATATATATGCATTTTTTCAAATGAATTTTTTTTTATACCGATTGGGTCGAACCAATCCAACCCCGGAATTTCCTGTTTTGAAGTTATGTAACTAATCTGGTATAGTATCAAAAGCTATAAGCTTGTATAAGGAAAAATTTACCTCTTCTTCCAGTAGCTGCCATTCAGATTCAGTTACAAGTCGCTTTCCCACAAGTGAAAAGCTTTCTAACTCTGCCCTAGCACTATCTAGTAAAGTTTTCCTCACTTCAAGCTCAGGTGTAAGATCTGAAAAACAAAAGTATATTGATTGAGAAATAAACAAAGCTGATTTTTTTTTTTAAAGTAATACATGAATGAAGCGTTTGGCTAAAAACCAATTCAAACATTTAGAGAAACATGTCTTTGTTCAAAAAAGGAAAATATTTAGCTACATATGCTTAAAAAATATATATATTGCAGTGAGGAAATTTTCACATTAATTAGTGAGTTTTTAATAATTTTAAAATAACAAAAAACAAACAAAGGTAAAAGACTTATTAGTTGATAAACTTTTGTTAACTAAAAATTTTAAAAAACTATGTTTTAAGAAATTTAATTCAGTATTTATAATATATTGTCACTTATAAAAAAGGTTGCATTTATCGCAATAAATAAAAATAATAAATGGAGAGTTCATTTAAATTAGAATTAGAAAAGACGTATATCTTAAGACATATAAATAACATTAAAACATGTTAGCTTAAAAAAAATGAAAAAATTCAGTTCAATATTATTATAACTTTTTTAATCTACTTCGTTACGAATTATTAAAAAAAAAATTATGATATAATGTGTAGTTTTGTAAAATATTATATTTAGTTTTTAAATGATAAAAGCTTTTTAATGAAAAAAAATTACAAAATCCTTGTCAATCTTAAAAAGCTTTATAATACATTGCAGATTGAAAAGTGATAGTGGTTTTACACATTGAATTCCAATGATTGAGAATTGCAAGATATATATATTTGTACGATGAAATAATAGGCAATAATATCTGACAAAGAATTTTTTTTTATGAACTTAAAAATAACAAAGAAGCAACTTATAAAAATGGAAAAGTCAGGTATCAGCAATATATACATACAATGAACAGATTACAAAATATTTTTTAAAAAAAAGCCAAGCTGCGTAACAGAAAGATTAGTTAAATGTTAATGGTTAAAAAAAAATATGTTAAATAAAAGGATTGCAGTGTAGTTTTAAAAAAAATCAAAATGCATTCTTAATTAATAACTACCGGATAAAGCTTTTAGTTGATCTTGGGTTAGACTAGGAAGTTTTTTAGGTGTAGTTGGAGTTGTTTGAGCTTCTGTAATAGGTAAGGAATTTAAGGGAGCTAAAGAGGAGTTATTTTGAGATGAAGTTTTTGTTAGACCATTTATAGCTGAACTTGACATAGAACGCTTCTCAGAGAACACTTCTTTTTCTGCCAAATTCAGGTATTCAGGAATACTCCTAGCTCTCTAAAAATAGAACAATAAAAATTCATGAGCATAAAAAATACACATAATAAATACAAAATACTGTAGCAGGATGGCCACTCAAATTGGGTTTCAAATTTCCCTGGTTTTCCAGTAAAAATCTTACAATTTCCAGGTCGGCGTGTTTTGTTTTCTCATAAAGTTTAGGTGTGTACAAGAAAAGTGTTAATATTATACAGTATTATATTCAAATTTATTTTTTTAATTTATTATCTTGAATAGAAGTGGAGAAAATACTATATTTAGCTTGTAGAATATATTGATTTTAATGAATAAAAATTTTTTTAAAGTGCTAAGTAGTTTTTGCACAAAATCTTCCAAATAGCAAATACAGAGTTACCCAAAAAAACCTTGGATAAGTACTATTTAATATATTTTCATTACTCAAAAGGAAGATGGTTTCTATTCATTTTATAAAGAAAAAGCGAAATAAGAGTTGGAAATAAATAAAAACAAATGTAATGAGAGAAAAAACAGTGGTATCTGACGTAAAAATAATTAATTATTAATTTACAATAAAAATATTTCATATTATTAAAATCTAAATCTTGCTTTAAACAAAAAGTAAAATCCTAGTGGCACATCACAATTATGCATTTTGATGTCCCACATAAAATATCAAAAAAGTTTATGAATTTTATGCATTTTAGTAAATCAAAATGTGAAATGCTTCTACAAATTTGTGCAAGGTAACCTATTTTGTTACAGTTAATTTTAATTATTATTATTTTTCCATTTTTTATTATTTGTGTGATTTTTTTGAAAAAGAAACTTTATTCTGTTAGAGATTCACTAACTAAGGTTAAAAATTTCAAATGATGTGACCCTTCATTTAACAGCCTATAGCTTGTTTAAAACTGATATTTATAGGTTAAAAGTCATTATTTCTAAATCTTCAATTTTTTTTACCTTGCAAATGATAATGATTGTTCACTAAATGTTAAGTTTAAAATTTTGATCATCAGGTTGCCCAACTTGAAACCTATACTGTGCAGAACAAAAAAACAAAGTCTTGTTTTCCTTTTTTCTAATAAACAAATACAAATAAATTAATTTTATATTCTAAGTTTATACATCATTTAACATGGTTTCCATACATTCCTTGGTTTTTGCCAGCTTTTTAGGATAAAAGGAGTAACAGTTTTGAAAATATTATCTGTGGAATGTAAGCAACATTTACGAACTTTCGAATCAAAAATCTAATGTTGGTGTTTACCAACAAAACAGTAAAATTTAATGTTAACATCTAATTGGTTCATAAAAGAACCCTTTAAAAAATAAAATATGTGATAAAAAGTTAAAATGAAATCCAGAAAATTAGCATCAATGCAACAATTGTAACGATTTTGCTGTTAGCGATTCAAGAAAATGAGTGATTGGTTGACTTTGCTGAGAAAAAAAAATTATTGGGAGTACAAAAGTTTTCAGTACTAAAACATTTTGAATAATTTTGTTAAAAGAAAAAAATACCCCTAAGGCATCGGAACAAACTTGAACTGTAAATGAATTCAACCCAAGGACTAGAAAATAAAAAAAAATTAAAAAATAAAAACTTTTTTACGAACAGAAGCAAATATCCTAACCCCTTCTTCCACCTCCACCACAATTTTTGCCTTTCCTAAACTGACTAGTCTTCAAAGAGGTCTAAGATTTCTTCATTCATTTAGCAACATGAGAGGGTTTTATATGGCATTCTAGTTTAGCAGGGTAATAATGGAAAGAATTTTAATGCAAGCAAAGTATTGCTAAGTTGATGATATTTCAACTGTTTGACGATATATTTTTGTCTAGATAAAGTGGATATAACGGATGGTAAAATAATTTAAATTAAGAAAAAAATTCCCCCTTTCCTTTAAATTTCCTTGATTTTTCCAGGTTTTTTCCCTGACTTTTTCAGTATAAAAAAAAATTCCCTGATAATTCCAGGTTTTCTAGTTGGGTGGGCCACCTTGTGTAGAATCTTTGAAATTAGTAAACCTAGGAACAAGAGGTTTTACAATTTTTAAAACTTTTATTTGTTTACATTTTCACTATGCAACTTTAATGCCTAAATTTATATCTTCAAAAATAAGAAATGAAGGTTAATGTATTAAAATAAAAGCTAATAAATTTAGTTAAAATATAACGTTGTTTTAATAATGAATTACTATTTTTTTTAATGTAACATAGATCATAAAAAAAATAAGACAGATAATATCATTTATAAAAGATGTCAATTTAAAGAACTTGTGTTTGATTAATTAATAGTAAAATAATTTTTGACATTAACTATTGGTATTTGTTGAATCAACATTTCATAGAGAACCAAACTAATAAGAGATAACAGCAAAATAAAGGAATCTAAACATTCAAATATAATTATCAAATAATGCCATTATTATATCACACTAAAATGACACTCTTTAAAAGTCTGAAGTTTAACTAATATTTTTTCATGTTACAAAAATTTACAATTAATAACAAATTCAACAACTATAAGTGTTTTAGCAATAAAACAACACAATTAATAACAATTACAACAACAGCAATAAAAAGTTATAGTTACTAACAGCTGATGAAGCCACAGGTATTTCCAATTCATTAGATTTATTGCTCATCAAGAAACTTTTATGACTAATAGAAGGGGATTTTTTTGCTGCCTTAGCAGATGAAGGTCGAGAAAATGGTGACGTTCTGCCTTTATCTAAAAAACAATACAAAAGAACACATTATAAGAATATAAAATTACAATAATCCTTAAAAGTTATAAAATTTTTCATAAAAACTGCAAACTATTAGTAAAGCTCACTGATAACTATTTGTAAGTAAAAACTATTCCACATGATTAAAAAGACTGAATCAAAATGTTAACCTTAATTTGTAAAGAAATATAATAGAAACTTGTTTAATATATATGAAAATTTTATTGTACACAAGTAAGAATACAAGATTGGAGTTTTGAGGTAACATGAGTTAAAAACTTATTCAAATTGTTAAAATAACCCAAAAACCTAAGATAATAATTACAAACACATAATATATGATGTTATTTATAGTATATTTAAAACATTACATACATTACTTAGAAATATATGAAAATATATAAATATAAAATTAACAATAAGTAAATTAAAATAGAATTTATAGGTTTTATCAGAAGAAAAAAAAAATTTCCGATTATTTTCTTTGAGAGCTCTCATATTTTTCAAAGAATTTTTAAACGGACTAGTAAAATCTCTATATAGTGTAAATAATCTCTTATTTTTCATAAAATATTTCATTTTCTGCCAATAATTTGCCAAGTTCTTTTTTCTCCACACATTATAAAATCTTACAATTGCATAAAATTCTAATTATAACATAAGATCATTTCATAAACAGAAGTGTCTAAAGAAAAAATAAATATTTATGGCGGGTGTAAGTTTTAATACTATAAAATAAGAAAGGATTTTGTGGAATTTCGTTTAATATTTAAGGATTTTGTTAAAAATTAAATACCTCACCTTGTATTTTAATATAAAGAATTGATGACATAGATATTATTATTAATATTATTACTTTTTTTTTATTATTGTCACATATTCTTTAAAACAATTTTACAAGTAGCTTCTAACAGATATTTTGCAAGTAAATAGTAACATGTATTTATGTAATTTATTATGCTTTTTTCTAGACATTTTTTTTCAATATGTGTAGCTGTATAAGGAAATTTGTATGTAAAATTGAACCTTAAACACTAACTTGAATGTGCTTTTTAAACATGAATAATAATCTTTATGCCAACACCTGTAATCTTTCAGGTTTTTGAAAGTTTCTCATGCAAGTTTTTGACTTGGGGTATGGTTAAAATCGCTAAAACTGTCCAATTTCAAAAACATTCCAACTCAGTAAACAACGAATTTAAGCATTTAAATTATCATACCATCAGACGCTTTTTCATTTTCTTTCTTTTCACTTCTTTTCAGTTGCCTTTCAAGCTCTAACCTCTGCTCATCCTTCTTTTTAGCTTCAGCAATCTGTCTTGTTTGCTCTGCTGTTAAAACACTCTGCATACGCTGCATATCCATTATTTGTAGCCTCTGTGTCTCTAAAAACTGGTCATTGGCCATTTGCCATGTTCTCTTTAGCTGAACATGCTCTTTCTTTTCTTTCTCCAATAACTGGCACACTATAAAAATATTTTTAAGTTAAAGCATGCACTTTCTAAGCATAGTCACAGAATTTCCAAGGGAAACAAATGAAATGGTACTGCAGTAATGAACAGTAAGATAAAAATTTTCACATACATATTTCTCAGATTTGACAAAAGGTGTTTTTAATTGTTTATTGGTGTTGCACTTCACTATAAAGGATTTATGATACAATAAAAATTTAACAGTATGTCAGAATTCAGATACAACTAAGCACCAAAATAAAATGTAAGATAAATAAAATTGTAATAATACTCTAAAGTTTCAGAAACCTCTGGTCAAAAGTAGCTTGAATTCTTCTTAAATTCAGATTCATAAATCTCAATCATTCAAGGAAATTCATTCATATGAAAAAGACATTTTTATATTTAGTCAAATAAATTGCTCAATTACTTTTATATAGTATTAATGAAGTAATATTTGTGCTTTTTTGACATTATTTAGCTTTATTCTCTTAATTTCAGAACACTTGCAACAATAAGTTAGTCAATGCTAAAGAATTTTTAAATAAAACAGTCCGCGCAACTAATGAATTGCACAAAAATAGAGAGGTGATTATATTGTTCTGAGCTTCAAAAACTCTCCAAAAAGTACCGAATTTAAATCCCATGTTATTTTTTAATAAAATAACTTGAAAATTAATTGTTTGAGTTGCAATAAGTTGGTGTAAGTTTACCTCTTTCTCTATTTGTTTTAAGAAAAATTAATAGCGATGAAACACATGGTTTAGAAATAATTGCATTAAAAATACAGAGATTTTGTTAAGCATCAGTGTCAGAAAATATCAATACTAGCAAGAGCATACAATACAACACATATTAGTAATTTTTCTTTCCTTACCCTCTTGAAGCTCTAGTTTGATTTTGTCCATGTCTTCTTGCATAACTGCTTTTTGAGTATTGAGAACAGCAACATACATCTCTAAATCACTCCGAGATGCCTTTTCAGCTTGTAAACCTTGACACAGAGTGGTAAGCTTTACAAAAAATAAAGAAGAAAGTGAGAAACTTTTTTTTTAACTAAATCAGAATGCATAATTGAGCTTTCATTGTCTGAAATAACTGTTACTAAACTTAATTCAAATAATATATAGGTTTATAATTCAAATACAGTGAAACCTCCTGTTATGAACACTCCTGCAAAACGGACGCCTCTCAATACGGACATATTTTTAATTCCCCGGGAATCTTCTATGAATAAACCATTACGTACATTCTCCGCAAAGCGGACACTCCCGTATCATATGTCTATTTTTAATTCCCCGGTATCATATGTCTAACGTGAGTTTCTATGCTAATAGGAAAATTATATTTATTTATCTGTAGCTACATCCAGAATTTTGTATTTATATCAAACTTCTTTATATATTCTTTTTTTATATTTATTATATAAAAAAGAATATATAAAGAAACTTCTTTTTTATCTCTTTTATATATTTCTTATTGTTTAAATAAATATTCTTGTAGATATTTACAGTATCCTTGTAGATATTATTTAATTATTTCTTCATCTTTGAGAACATTCTAAAAACAATTTACGGTGTTAAATTTCGTAATTAGGGTACCCTTCCCGTAAACGGACAACTCTCATAAACGGACAAAGTTTTTGGTCCCATGAATGTCCGCTTAGCAGAGGTTTCACTGTAATCTATTTTTTTTCACAATGTGTAAAATAGGTTTCATTTTAGGATTTGAATACTGATAACCAAAATACATATCTAAATCCCACTCTGTAAGACATGACTAGAGTGATAAGCTTATTAAAATAAAAGTAAACAAAATAGATATTCAACAACTGAAATTAAATTATTTAATATAATCGAGGTTCACCATGCCATTTAATATCACTATGAAAAATCCAGTTTTGTTGGGGGGTTTTCTTAATACCAGTACTATATATTAAAATTTAACATTATTCAGTCAATGTCTCCATACAAAACTCAGACCTGAATTTATATTACTTTAAAATTATTATTTAATTTAAACAACTTTCACTGTAGTTCAAATGCAATGCAATATCGCTAACTTGAAAATTTTAATTTGTTGCCCTTAGAAAATGCTCACTTCTCTGTAAGTAATGAGCACAAAAAGTGTTTCCTATTATGTGTGAAACAGCCCCCTCTTTCTTCCTCTATTACTACTAAAACAAATGTTGCAAAGGATAAGTTTCTAATCATAACAAAAGTGTTAATGCATTATTAATTCTATTTTCCTACATGGGTGCAAGTTAGCACATGTATGTTAACACAAAATTTATAAAATAACTAAATATTATTTAATGTAGCTAAACTATCAGTTAGGTATTTGGTTAGCATCAAAATGACTAAAAAATATAACCATTTTTACAGCTTTTACAAACAATTAACCGTTAAAAAAATTAAATAAACATCATATATCTTTCATCTCATAGATGTACACTAGGGTCATACAGAAATGATTGGCACAATAACTCTCGCAATGAAATTGCACACAATGTGATAGAGAAAACTAATCAAGCTGATTTAAGAAAATATAAGCTATATAGAATGCATAGGTGGCAATGACCACAAACACATTGTGCAAGATAGTACATTCATTTTGTTGCTGTTACTGAGAAGGTAGACACCAATGGTGAAAAGAGACACTGATGGTCAGCATTAGATCGTATACACGGGGATATAACATAGTGAAATTCTTCATTGCCTAGTGTCAATCAACAGAAACGAAGAATCCTACAGGCATACCAACAACTCTAAGTTGGTTAAGTTCAGCTGTGTAGTCAAATCTGTAGTCAATGAAGGAAAATAAAAGCATACCATACAGCAGCAAAGTGAGCAGACACGTCAGGAATGACTATAGCAAACATTTATCAAGACGTAAGAAGACAAGGGACACTTATTTTACCTGCATGTTCTATCCTCTGCAAATAGAATTAAATTGTTTGAAGGTGGTTAATCAAAACCCTATGGGACTTCAAGGATCAAGTATTCAGTCAAGTATCAGATTTGCATTGACTTGGCTGGAATTACACTGAACTGATGTATTATCTGTCTTTATTTTATTTATTTATTTTCCGTTAGTACATTGTAACACGTCTAGTGATAGCATTTGTGTCACTCATTTCTGCATGATTAAATTATTTTTTTTTAAAAATTGATAAAATTCACAGCTGTTATATAATTATTTCAAGTACTTTTTCATCTAAATGTTCGACAACTTCAGCAGGACCTTTTCCCTTTATCATTTCTGACAATGAATCTGAGCCTAAACCCTTCACCAAGTCTGCAAATGCAGTTTCATACACTCTTAGCTGCTCATCAGTAGACCGTAATTTGTCTTTCAATGCCTTTATTTCTTCTTCCAATGGAACGACAAGAGAACGTAACATTTCAGCATCTTCTTGTGCCTGATAAAAGGGAGAGAAAAAGACAATACTTAGTATTAAATAAAGAGTATAAGAACACATAAATTTTCTTGCAGTTGTTCATTTGTGTTGCCAGCATAAATCGTAGATAAATGCGATTAAATTAAATATAATAAGCATAATGGAAAGTGTGGAATTGACCACCTTTTTTTCAAATTTATCATTGTCTAAATTAGCCTTGATAATCAAATATTGAATACTGCTACAAATACTTAAATAATAATATGAAATAAAACCTTTACAACTTATCATCAGCCTATACTGTAAGTTAAGCACTAGTATGAACTACTCAATGACTGACTTAAAAACAAATCGGAATTCTTTTGTAATTCATTAGGGGTGCTCGATTCTTATTCAGACAAATTTTATAAGTAGCAAAATTAATTTTTGGATTCAAAAAAATATAAGCTATTAATTAAGTACATAAAATTAGTGAAATGGAAATATCTTTTCTAACAATTACTTTTAAAAAAATGTGTATCTATGTAATTTACTGTGCTAATTTCAAATAAGTAGCATATATATTGACAACCCCGCAACATAATATTTGTTTCTAACAATATAAGCATTTTAGATCCCAAATCAATACAATCTAAACAGTGGTCATCTTAACAATTAATCAATACAACTTTTAAAAAATGAATGAATTTTTAATTAAATGTCTAATCAAATGAAACGAAATGTAAAGTGATTAAAATAAAGATAATAATTTACCTTCCTCATGCTTTCTTCTAAATTTTCAATACTCTCTCCAGTTGATGAAGTGAAAGGCAGAGGACTACCTAAATTACCAACACGTTTTAGAGATTTTGTTACAGCAGCTAATACTCCTTCTCTGGATATATCAATTCTAAAATGGAGATTAATTTCAGGATATGGATGGGAGAAAAAAGAAAAGCAAGTAAAATAACAAAAGAAATTGTTTAAGTAAACTATACATCAATAATCTTACATAGGTTTTAGAGAAAATTTTATTTTCAGATAAAAAAATAAAAATAAATAAAAAATTTTAAAAAAATAATTATTTAGAAAAAATATTTTTTATAAAAACTAAATTTCAATATTTAATTGTTAACTTCTTCAAGATCCAGATGCTACTTCAGGCAAAAAATTATACAGGGTGGCCATTCTCATGGCATAATCAAATTCCTTGAGAAAACTAATTGTTGACTTTTTCAAGTTCCAGATGCTATTTAAGGCAAAAAATTACATAGGGTGGCCCTTCTTCAGACAAAATCAAATTCCCTGAGAAAACTCTACAAATTATAAATCTTTTTTCTGATTTTAGTTAGCATGATTTTAATCATAATTTAAAATTTTATGCATAACATCTAATTAAAATTTAAATTTTAGTAGGAAAGCACTAATAGCAATTACAAATAAAAAATTTTAAATTTCGTCAATCTATTATTACATTATTTTTTCTATACTCTATTATTATTCTTTGTACCTACATGTTCCTTAATATTTTTTTTCTATTTATTAATCAAACTGTAAATTATTAAATAAATACAAATAATGATTTATAATCAAAAATTTCACCATTAATTTTATTCAAAGTTTCAGGTAGATATGAATTGATTTTCAAAAAAGTTTATAACCATAATGTTTTAAAAAGTTTAATTTAAAAAGATTTTGTCTAACAGAAACAACATAAATTATTAATTAGAACCATTAAGATAACATTGATGAAAATATAAATAAATGACAGTACCCAGTGTTTTCATCATAGAAAAAAAATGGGTGGGAATTTCTCACCCTTTCTCAAAAACAGGGTGAGATTTCAAAAAGTTAAGTGAGATTTCTAAAAACTAAAAAAACACAAAAACTCTCGAGAAAAAAATCATTTCTTTAATTATAATACATTTTCAATGTCTTCTATTTTTTAAAGCATTGAATATTTTGGTGCATCATCATAGAAGATTTTGCCTTTACAAGGTATTTGTCCATCTTACCTAAGTGGATAAAAAATTTGAGCGTATTACATGAAGAAACCTTACCTACGGTAAACACGTGGTTGCAGAGAAATGTGTTCTGAAAGGGGTTCCGTGGTTGTGTTCTGTTGTTTGAAAAGGTTCTGAACAATACTGGTAAATAGGGAAGCTAGATAATGGGGCAGATGTTGAAAATAATGAAAGATCCAGGAAGAAAAGTGAAACGGATTTTATTCTAAATGGCGTAATTCGAAGCTTTTTCCAAAATGCGAGAAATTCGCGAATTTTGAAATTGATTTATAGAATGCGCGAATTTCTCGCGCTAATCATTTTTTAATGCGAGAAAAGAAAAAAATATGCGAGATTCTCGCGCTGTAGTGAAAACACTGGTACCACTGAACAAGTTTTTTGTTAAATATTGATTGGTTTGTAAAGGAATTTAATGCCTAATAACAGATGGAAACATACTAGAGATAAAATAATGCATGAAGAAAAGTTATCTTTATACTGGAATAAATAATCTAGTGCACAAAATTGCTACAAGTGCACAATAAAAAAGTAAATTGGGAAAACTGCTTTTGTCTCAGTATATCATGTTAAGTTCTAGAATATAATAATAATAGAGATAAAAGACATTAAATAAATTTTAAAATAAGAATATATTTTTATTACTTTTCTTTACTCTTTAGTTCTTGCAATTCTGTTTCTATTCTATCTTTCTCCTTCTGAATCTGATTTATTTCTTTGTCATAACGACTAGTAGTGTTTCTTATTGCATCAGCAACATTCTCTACAATGAAACACGTTTTGTTATAATCAGAAAAGCAACAACACAGTTAACATAGTAATAATTTATTACAGTAAAAGTATTATAAAAGCAAATTGAAATAGTATTTTTTTCGTTTGTGCACTGGTATGAAAGAAAAATGGTCATAATTGATTTGAATTAAAGAAGTTGTATTTGAAGTTGTACAGTTACACAATATTTATACTGTCTGTAGTACAGTCAAAAAAATTATTTCGCAATTTTTAGATGTTTTTCACTGTTAGGTACTTTAGAGAAGGTGTATATTTTGCATTATATATTCACCAATATTAATATTGATATATTTAGAATAGTCGTAGAAAAGTGAGATCAAAAATATACTTACATTCAATATCATAAATTAATATTTAGAAAAGAAAAGAAAAAAAAAAACAATATCAAACCCCAATCAACAATATCAAACCCAAACCCCAAACAATCAAACCCCAACTAATCAGAGAAGAAAAATTAAAATTTTGAAGTAATAGTTTATCAAAGAATGTAGATGAAAAGCTTATTTTGGAAAACTACCAGACAAATAAACTGAGTTTTAACCAACCTCCCTTTGCTCCGATGCGCTTTGGTACTAACTGATAAAAAGGGTTGTGAATATAATGGTACACCATATTAAAACATACAAATAGTACTAGACTGGAAATGTAAACCCAAAAACAAATAAAAGCTAATGTTACCTTCCATTATTCGTTGTAAAGATGCAACTTCCTCTTTTCGCTTCCTCTGTTCACTTTCCACAACATTTTCTTTCTCACATTCAGCAACTGTCACTAATGAACGACATTCATCTAGTTCAGTTTGCAGGCGCTTCAGCTCTTCCTGCAACTGTTTCACGTCTGAACTTGATGAATTAGAAAATTCACTAACTTGAAGGATATCTAAAAACAGACAATTTGGAAGAAGAAAAAATACATTAATATTGAAAATAAAACAGATAACTTTTTCAAAATATTGAACTTATTTACAGACTCAGATAAAATTAAAAACTCTCTGGGAAGACAAAATCTCAATTAAAAGCTTTCAGCAAGCAATTGTTTGCAACTTTAATAACTAGTTTGGACAATTTTGTCGCCACTACATTTTGGCAAAATTTGTTCAAAAATCACGGATTTATTTAAAAATTTTAATTTTTATAAAACTCTATATTGATTCCTATCTCAAGGATGAGTTTTGTATGCCCTTAAAATAACTAAATTGTATAAAAATACATGTCTGCTATAAATAGTAAAAACTCTTTAAATTATCACTATAGATATTAATTTTCACACTCTCATTTATATTTCAAATAAATCAAAAATTATTACTCTTTTCTTGCTTTTTGATAAATTGTATAGAGTTCAGCTATATATACTGTATCCAAAGTGAAACCTAATTTTCAATATTAACTCCTTAATTTAATGATGTGAAAAAAAAAATTTAGCAATGAAATATAATCAAGAAACAATTATTTAAGAGCATATTTTTTTCTAAAACAATATTTTCATACATTTTTTTAAGGAAATATATACTTATTTCAGAACTATAACCACTTTACTCCACTCTGAGATAAAGTGGATTGATCAAAACTTGTTCTTCTGAATACATTACAGTAAAAAAACAATCAAACAAAATGGATAAGTTATGCTTCATATGTAATCTATGTAAACCTAATGTATAGACAAAATGCATCAAAATTTTCGGTAAAATAAACTTATAAGCTTGGTCTTAGAGCCTTCTTTAAAAGAAGCTTGATTTAGTACCACTACAGCCCACCTGACCTTATTAGATTCCGCATAATCCGTAAGGATAGAACCTAAGAAAAAGAGAAAACTAAGAAACTACTCCATAGACCTGTGACTAAAAGATATTACTAGTTTGAGCACATCTTTAATGGTCAGTTAACAAATAACTATAAGATTTAAATTTTTTAAAAAAATTAAAAGCTAACGAGAATTTAAATGAAAAATTGCAATACATGCCTACAATATTATATTCACAATTATGCTACTTTATAGCAAAATAAATAACAAAAATGCATATTATCCTTTTACATTGTTTACTGGTACGAGAGAGCATCATTAATTTTGAGGCCTCACTTATATAGCTCCCCATTTCCATATATAAAGGACACCAGAATAAATTCATTCAAGGATTTTGTTTGTCACTAGGGTAAAACTAAATTTACAGTGATTAGAGGTCAATTAGCAGGAAAAGCCAAAATGTGATGAATGAAAAAAAGTTTTTTAAAAAAATTTATGACTACCAACAAATTAAGTTCTTGTAAAAAATAAGAAACCAAAAATGTAATTATTTCTACATGAGATTGCCACAATTTTTCTAACACTCATACACCCGACAACAGAAATAGACAACAGACTAGCTGGAGTCGCACAACATCCACAAATTTTTTTTTCGTCTCAGATTAAAATTGTTGCGACTCTTTTTTAGTATATCTCTAAACTTGCATCCAATTAAAATTATAAAACTGAGATGAAAGAATACCTCAAACAACAAAAATAAAAGTAATTTTTAGCACTATATTTGGATTTATTTGACTTACTATGTAAAGTCCCAATGTTCCTTCAAATTATGTTTAAGTAATTATTTTATGGAGAATTTTTAAATATATTAGCAAATTCTGTACACATTACACAAAGCTGAATTTTTACATTAACAGTTTTTGTCTGACTATTTTGGCTGTAGATAAATCTGGGTAGGAAGACAATGCTGCAGATTTCCAGCATTTCCATGTATTTTATCAGCATCAATTTGCTTTATTTGCTTAAGCCACTGCTTTTAAATATTCTTTGTACCCCAATATTTTATGCAACTATTCAAAGCTTAAAGGCATTAAAAATTAAACTTTTAGAAAACAATCAGTCAAAACGTTACAATCGATACAATATAATAGAATGGTCAAGTTAAGACCAATAAACACATGTGCATACTTTCTTCCTTCCCAATCATCATTTACACAATGAAAACCCATGAAACTGACCACAGACACAACACTACCATTTTTGAACAATGAACTTTTATCTTCTCCTTAATGAACAGCCGCATATCATTTTGTCATACAATGTTTCCTTACTCAAGTTTGTTGCTTTTCAAGCTTTAGCATTAAAATATTGGTATGGAAAAAGTCTATCAGTAAGTAATTCTTGATACAAACAAATTATATAAGCAATAAGATATAAATTTTAATTAAGCTAGGACTTAACGAACTTATTGTTATGGATAGACTTCCTTGTATATTTCTTTAATAATGATTAATTTCTTGCTGCAAAAATTACTACCATGTAATTGAAAAAATATATGAACTTTAACAATGACTTGCACTTACAATCAATTGCCAAACAGTGTAGCTGTATTATTTTCCTCTGGACCTTACCTATTTACACTCAAAATAAGACCAATGTGAATCAACCCACTAGGATTTAAAGTACTACTTCAAACGACCAGTCTAGAACATTTCATAATAAATAATTCTTCCAAAGTTTGTAAGGTGCTGTTAATANTTTTTCATAGAACGTGAAAAATTCATAGAAAGAAATTATTGCCCTTTAAGAATAATAATGCCCTTTTTATAAACGTTTGCACCCTGCCCTTTTTTCTGCCTAGAATGAGCTCTGAGCTAACTAGACAAAATAAATTGTTTGTGTAGTTAGCTAAAAATTAATTTATTACTTCTCTGTTTGAATAATAGTTATTACTAACATTTAGTGATAGCTAATATAACAATTTTGTTACAAGCAATTCCAAATCTTAAAGTCATCAAGCACATTTGCAAAGATTTACTTTTTAAGTTTTAAAGGTTTTTCATAAGTTCATATTTGCATGGCCCATAAATAAATGTGGCTAAATTCATAAATTGCAGTTTATTTACAATTTTTACCCCCTTCTTTTAAAAACTTATTAGAACTTAATACGATATATGAAATAGAATAAAAAATTGTTGGTGATTTAAATACTATATGCCTACACAAAATGATATTTTCACAATTTTAGGATTTTATAAAAAAAGATAGAAGATAGATTCTCAATAACTTATTAAATGAAAATTAACACTGAATTTATGATCCCAAACCAAAAAATAAAACCAAAAAATTATAATTGCATACGAACTTTAACAAAGTCATAAAAGACAAGTAAATAAGGCAAAATAAAGTTATTAAAGACAGCTAAGATCACAACATTCAATCACCCGAATTTCAAAACATTTTTTATATAATAAGTGAAAGTGTAAGCTACAATTGACACGAATAAAGAAAAATCACATAAGAAATAGCCATCATAGAGTTGAATTAAGATCTTTATCTTGATGTCCATAATAAATATGTTTAATATATTCAGTTATTGATTCTTTATTTACATCATCATTTCAAAAAGGAAGATCATTATAAGTCTCCGAAAACTCGTGTTGCATTACTTATGAGTAGTTTTCAAATTTATAAAAACAGAGTCAGAGCAAACAAGAAAATCTTAATCATGACAAATTTCGTAAGGTGAACAAATAATAAAGTATAATAAAAAGTAATTAAACTCTGGTTACTCACGATCTACATCGTCATACGCGGTGGAAACTTCAGATGCATCCATCATTGTTTGTCAAGGATTAGGAAGTAGCTTTGACGAAATAAAAATAAATATTTTACTCATGACAGAATTTTTCATTACATGCGCCGAACACAACAAACAGATACAAGTCCATTTTTCGGCAGAACGAAAGTGTTGCCAGGAATTTTTCGAAGTGCAAAACTAGCAGACGGAAAAACCGTTGCCAGAACTAATTTTCAAAATTAACTATATAGTGACTCAACAGTTTATTCACGATTGTAACAGTTATAGATGGCGCTTATTAAAATTCATTACGCATAGCACAATAGTGATTAAGAAATTTTAATTTTTTTAGGAGACTTATCTGAGCATTACGATTGAAAACTACAATTAATAATCGAAAGCTGAGTATTATCTCATTTCCACTGGTTGGTTTATAAAAAGAAGAAGGGGAGTTCTCTCTCCCAAGTTTTATTTTTCCTACTGCTACAGATCATAAATGGTGAGTTTTTTGAGTGAGTTTGTAAGGAAGATGATCGTAGATTAGATGGATCAGGTGTTAAAGTTCCCTTGTGGTTAGGCTAATTATGGTAGGGTTTCGTAGTTATCTATCTATGTTACGCAAATGCGGTTAGTTTCATCAAAAAGTCTTCCACGAAAGCGAATTTCTCCCAATACTTGATCCAAGAGTTCACTTGTCTTCTGGATTGATATCAAAATAGCAAGGCCACGGAGATGAACATTGGTACCAGCAAACCCAAAATCGGGTCGTCTGTTCATCGACGGTTATAAATCAAGTGTAACTCGAGCGTGATATAAACAAACCCAAGCTTGAAACAAATCAAACTTTCAAGTCTATTTTCTTTTAACATTTCCTTATTTGATCGGCACACTCTACCTTCTAAATGGCAACTCGATACAGCAAGACTGGGTGTTCTGGGCGTGAAATGCACTGAACTAAACTAGATTTTAAATTACCTTCGTTGTCAAAATTTTAGAAACTAATTAAACAACCATTTTCACCCAATAGACTTGAATCAAGCGCACTCTACGCCTGGGAAATGCCACTTTATAAACCTACCTTACTCATCCTGGTGGGAGTGTACACCCTTTTCCATGGTGGAGAGAGAATCCTACAACCACCACAGAGGAATCTGGTTAGAACCCTGGCGATTGACAATCATTACTCTCTACCATTTCTCCAGATTGGTGTTTATGGAAACTCGAACACGCAACTATACCATTCCTAGACAGATAGCAGCATTGCACTATTCCACCTTGTTTCACAGTTTACCTTGATTCGCTAAAGAAAACGATTCACAAGCAACGTCAAGGCCTGAACTGCACTGAAATAGCAACTTCTATCACAGGCACGCAGCTTCTGAGTCTCGTGAAACACTCAAGACTGACAACGAGACAGATATCTCACTCAATGGAGGAGGAATATGAAACGGCATCTTTATAAAGTGCAGTATGCATCCTTTTCTATGGTGCAGTATACATCCTTTTTTATAGTGGTTTCAGAATGTTACTACTACCATTGAGGTCCTTGGTTTGATCCCTTTGTCTGCCAACTAGCATCATTCCCTGAACCTCTCCAAACACCTTCATGGTCCCTTGATCAAACATTTACTTCATTTTCTCAGAGGAGAGTGTATGAGGAATTCCTCATAATGACTTCCACCAGATTGACCCATCATTGACCCCACTTACGAAGAGATTTATGACTCGATCTAATGTCTTAAGATCTACATACAATGCCGGGCGTTGGTTTTAAAGTCTCCGGCAAAAACTTTATTGTGTTTCCATTGCTTCATTGTCCTCTCAACAACAACCGATTCTTGTTCGTCAGATTCAATGCGTATAGCTCATCTGTCGCTTATCGATCAAATATTCATTTCATTTCCTCCATTTTTTTCTAAAATAGGTCCCGACTGAAAGACCCTGATTCTACGATAATTTTCGATTGAGAAAATGAAATGGTTTTACACTAAATGACAAAAAAACTTTTACAAAACGTACTGACAACCACTAGGTTTTTTTTCCCGAAAAATCTATTTTCGCAAAATTTTGAGTACATTTTTCACAAAACATGATTTTATTTTATAAAAAGTCTAATACATAATCTGCTAGTAGATCTTATATATATTTTTACGTTACAGCTTTATCGTGTTGAGTAAAATAGTTTTTTGGAAGCGTTAAACTTAAGGTGCATTTATTATAACATATATGCTGCAATCACTAGGAAAAATTTGAGAAATTCCCTTGTGAAACAATTAATTGGATCGTGCAGCTGAGCAACTGATTTTCAACGCTGCGATTTATACGAAAAATTCACTATGTCCTTAATTCAGAGAAAATGCTGCCAGACAGCAAGATTAATGTGCTGCTGCGAAGTCGAACATCTGATGCTGAGATGGTCAATATAGAACAAGCTTCCGTCTGAAACCCCAATCCTTTTCACAATTTCTGCATCGGGACTAAAAACGTAAGTAAATGGACTATTCTGTCATAGTTATAAATATCGTGCATAATGTTTCGAAATAAATGACAAACCCAAAAAAAAGTGGTTTTTAGATACAAGTTTTATTTCGAACTTAATTTTCCTCGAGTTTTATTTTAAATTCTTAGTTTTTTCATGCCCTATTCAAAAACTTGCAAGCCCCATTTGTCATACATTTAAAAATATTTTCTCCATAATTACCAAGGATGCCAACTGCTCCTCTTTCGGTGAAAAGAATTTTTTAGAGTAGTAGCGAATTAAGAACTAAAACTTATTAATTGCACTTAATTTCGCCCATACTTTAAACAGCTCACTAAGAAATAAATCATGTAAAGTAGCATGTTATATGAACAACTGAATTATTTAAATGTCATAGTGGACAACAAAACTTTTAATAAATTCACTAACACAAGAATTAACACAAATATTTCTACCACTAGAAAAACTATTTTCCCAAAGCGGAGCAAACTGGCATTTCTGAAATAGTTACTTTTTAAGTAAAATAGCTATAATTATTTTTAGATTCAATTTAAAATGTATCCAGATGTATTTTTTTTACAATTCGATGAAAGCAGAGCGCAACGACGAAGCTGCCCTGAATGAAGTTACTTATTTTAAGTGTCAAGGGAATGTTGCCTTCCAGTGGAAGTGAATAGAATGAGACCAACTTGCTACTGCTCGACCACGGAAGTCATAAATAGGAGGAATATCTTGAGCGCTGAAGTTGAGTTTGTAGTTTTCATTGTGTAACTCATATCTGTGTTACAACTTTTAAAGATTTTAAAACCAAAATAAGGGGTTAAGTTCCTAAATAATTCCTGATAATATAAAGTAAATATGTAACAATGTTTTATAGTTTTGTACTTATAAATTCAATGATTCTTGACTTAACTAAATTTTACATAACTTTTTATAAAAGTAAATATTATTCATACCGCAATATTATTTGCAATTAGCAATTGTAAAATGATTAATAAATTAAATTTAAAACATGTGTTTTTTTGAATAAGAGGTTGCGTATTAAGATACTGTCATAAGATTACTAAATATGAAAGAAACACTGCTTTTATGCTTTTATCTTTAAGTTTTTAATTAGAAAAAATGATCGAAATCAAAAAAGTAATAATAGCATAAAATATTACTCAGGAAGTATAATAAATCAATATTACTGGGAAATACTGATGAATAAAGGGCAAAGAAATATTTTACAGGTAAAAAATATCTTTTTAACTTTAGTTAATTTTATGCTGATAACAACGACATGTAACTGGATCTTTTTGTTTACAACCTTAGCATGTGACTTTCTTCCCAATGAATGCACCAACAACAATCAGAAAATGTTTTAGAACATTTTTTGTATTATGCTAATAGTAGAAATACTTTATTTACGTCGTACTAGATCTGCGCAATGACAGGGCTAAAGAGAATAGAAGGCCTGGTTCACTCCTTTGAAGAAACTCTCGCCGCGCCAATCCTCCAATTTTCTCTAGTGACGTCACTTCGGCGCAAAACTTGCACTTTTACTTCAAGAACAGAGCGTTCGGCCTTACTAGCTCAAACTAATACTGGAGCATTTCCTTTTGTGACATATTCTAAGACATTTGTTGTTTTCTACAATTACTTTCCTCAGTTTTTGCCGTGAATTTGCAAAATTTTAAAACTATTAACGAAATGCTAGTTTGCGCGATTACAACTTGCAAAAATTCCGATAGAAAAACAAAAGGAAGAAATATAATTTTCCGCGTGTTCCCTAAAGTAAATGAACAACTATGTAAAGAATGGATTCCGAAATGACACAGTTAATATAAAACAGCAATACGTTTATTCTGTCGTTAAGAACTTTTATAAAAATTCATTATCTAAATAGAAACCGCCTC